GCGGTTTGCTGCATACTTGTACTTAGCTTAGCCAGATACATAGCTGGGAAAATTCCTCGTTTATCTTTACTCAACAGATACAGTTCCTCACAACACAGCCCTTCAAGGTCATTCTCGTAACACAGGTGTTGTTAGCAGTCTGATCTCAGGCCTGGATTGTCCAAACCTTGCAACGAAATATTGTGGCCATTCTCTGTCAGAAATTCTACTACACATAGTTTGTTATGTGTCTTCTGTGTCTTAGACCTTCCTTGGGTCTCGATGCGCTCTTTGCACTAGAGGAGCACAGCACATGCCTCTGACACACTCCCTAGGGTCTGGAATGCCCATCCTCATCAGCATAGTGTCAGCTGGGTGCTTCTTTTCTGGTGTTATGAACCTGAAGCATGGCTACGTCTCAGAAGTTTCTGGTCAGTCTGCTTTTGCAACATTGTTCTGGACTATGTTAGCATCTCTGATTTTTGCGGAGCCGCGGACGAACGACACGCCGAGACGGGTTCAGTGTCAAGATAGAGCATCAATCAACGTGTGTCTTTATTGATCCAGGGTACATATATTTATACAGACAATGATAATTATTATGCCTACTAGTCACTAGCTGATTGGCTTAAGCTCTAAAGGTCGTATTCGCACGGTCCACCTACTTGCAGTCAGCTTACAGCACAAGCCTCTCACAACACTAAGTTTCTCATGCTACTATTTCTGATTCCTGTTGACTTGTTTTCGATACACGACAGTACCGTAACACAATGTTTCTCAGACCACTGTTATCATAACACTAGGTTTCTCAGACCACTATTCCTAATTCCCCTTAACCTGTTTTCGACACACCACGGTACACAAGGCCGAAGCGTCCTTGACATTCCTCCTGTATCAGCAGCTGCGAGCAGCTGCAGGCAAACCCTAGTGAGGCTCAGCATAAGCAGCTAGAGCAGGCTCTGATCATACAATTGCTCGGTGGGCTCAGGACCCTTGTCTCTGAGCCATTCTCCAACAATTCCCCCTTTTTCTTTTTGTATGAGCAGACCCTGCGCTAACGTTCATTCAAAGATTTTCTTAACACATGACAAGGCACAACTTAAGCATGCAGGCTTACAATGTGTTGGCTAAAGGCACTTATCACGCACCCGGAAGTGCTGTGATAGGTCTGCATCGTTAGCACGCGTGAACAAACTAAATCTACTTTGTGGTTAGTGCATCCAGGCATTCAAACAGGGAGGAAGCACTAGCTTGACTTCCTCATTCTTGCCCTTCCAGGTGACCTCAAGGGCAGGATTACCATGTGGCAGTTTTCTGCTCAGAGACCCAGCCTGGATTGTCCAAACCCTGTAGGATCAGTGCATAACCCTGATCCCCCCCCAAAAAATTCCTACCAGGTTTTCCCCCTTTTTCTTTTTTGTACAATCCAGACTCCTTTTAACGTTTGAATCATAGCATTCATAAAGCATTTCCACACAGACCCCAATACCATCATGACAATCATAATGACAATCAGCATTGCCAGTCTATGCATCAACAAAGCTTTCAGCCACCCAATAATTTCCAAGTTTTGTAGATTTGCAACCATCATCAGTCCATTTTCCAAATTCCCAAGTCTCGTAACCAGTCTGTCAGTCCATGTTCCAATCTTATGGAGTCTTATGTAGCAAGAAAACCATCCTTACAGTTTTAAAGGTGTCAGCAATTGTAACAACAGAGTATGCAATACAGAATGTCGTACAGGTTTCACCATAGTATGTTCTAAACATTGCACTGAACCCACAACATACAATGAATCTGATACTACATGAACAAGTTCTTGATACCAGTGTTGATGTTGAAACACCCAGATGACAGTTCAGAGTTCTAAAGTTCGTAAGGAGTCTCCAGACCCCCCGAGGAGAATCTTGTGGTGTTGTGTTCCCGGGTGTCCCCCATTCATTATCACTACTGTGCAGGCCAACGCCCCAGCAGCATGCCAGTCCCCTTCTAACAAGGCACCCCGAATCCCCCCACTCCATCGGGGCTGAGCTAAAAGCGGAGCTGGTTCTGGTGAGGGTGACGGGAGTGGGTGTGGGGGGGCTGCCGGCAGCGCTTCCTCTTCTTGTAATTGTAAATGCAGAGTTCTGTTCTGTAGCTTAACTCCTGTAATTTTCTTTCAAGTTCTTGGACTTTGTCACTGTCCCTTACCGATGTGTGACCCTGGTGCTTTAATTCGGACAGAGTCGCCGCTTTTCTCTCTGAGCCAGACACTGACGGGCTGTCAGGGGCGGAACCATCCGAAGGGTGGGGGGGCGGGCAGAGTTTATGGTGGCACGCCGCTCCACCAGGTACCCCCGCACCGCCTGATTGCTCTGCCGCTTCTTGCGCGGTGGAGCAAACAGGAACACTTGGTGCCATGCCCTTAATAGAGCGGAGCTGCTGATTAACCCCGAAGAAGGTGGCTGATCGTGACGGACGGTTGGTTTCGGCAGGGACCGGCGGGGATGGTACGGTGCCGACAGCCGCCATTGCAGCGGCAGCTACTTTCTTTTCTGCTGGCATCTCCCTCAGGGCTTTTACGATCGTTCGCCAGACCAGCCCTTGCTGTCGTGCTTCACTGCCTTTATTGCTTCCAGTGATAGTCTCGTCCCACAATAAATCACCTACTTCGCGCCACTCCTGTTGGCTAAATATTAGCGAGGGGCCATCGCCCCCCTCTGCCTCCGAGGTAGAGGTGGGGGGGGGGGGCATGACTGTAAGGGCACTGGGGGGGAGCTGGCCTCTGGACTTCCCCTAATTATGTTAACTGAAACCGGCACACCTGTTGATGGTACAGGAATACGATCACTGTCAAAGAGCATAGGTCCAGATGCCTCACTATCTGGGGTAACAGTGGAACTTCCCCCCCCAACTTTGTAGTTGCCACAGCTGCAAGGTTCTTTTCAAGCTGATACCGCTTACTATTATTCACCACCTCCCGCCACGGTTTCATCATTTTCCTTGCAGCTTTATCCTCGTCAATTACCATATCCCATAAAACATCACCTAATCGTCTCCACTCGTCGACATCAAAAGGAGAATTAGGGTCCTGAAAACATCCTTTGACCCGTCCTAACGCTACTAATCCCGTGAGTGATTTTATACAATCGACTCCCCGCTTTTCTAAAAAGCGCTGTAATAAATCCAGGGCTACCTCCTGTTCCATATCGTCAACCTGGTGCTCCTTGATTAAGGCACCTCCGGTCCTGTGCTCCCTGGATAAGGCACAGCACCGTTACTGCCGACCCACCCCTGATTAAGGTACCGTCGGCCCTGTGCTCCTTGACTAAGGCACAGAAATACTCCCGCCGGCCCTGTGCTCCTCAATTAAGGCACAGAAATACCCCCGCCGGCCCTGTGCTCCTTGATTAAGGCACTAAAAATACTCCCGCTGGCCCTGTGCTCCTTGACTAAGGCACAGAAATACTCCCGCCGGCCCTGTGCTCCTCAATTAAGGCACAGAAATACCCCCGCCGGCCCTGTGCTCCTTGATTAAGGCACTAAAAATACTCCCGCTGGCCCTGTGCTCCTTGATTAAGGCACATAAATACTCCCGCTGGCCCTGTGCTCCTCGATTAAGGCACAGAAATACCCCCGCCGGCCCTGTGCTCCTTGATTAAGGCACATAAATCCTCCCGCCGGCCCTGTGCTCCTTGAATAAGGCACAGAAATACTCCTGCTGGCCCTGTGCTCCTTGATTAAGGCACAGAAATACCCCCGCCGGCCCTGTGCTTCTTGAATAAGGCACAGAAATACTCCCGCTGGCCCTGTGCTCCTTGATTAAGGCACAGAAATACTCCCTTACTTTGATATGGTGCTGATGCTCCGTGATTAAGGCACCAGGTGCAGCTCTTGCCAGAAGCCCTTGCAGAGAGCGACCCTCTACCTCGGTTCAGGTCCTCGGAACGACCCGTCGGGGATCCACTGTTTGATCGTTCTTGATTCCCTAGGCGCTGCTGTATCTGATGTTTCCCCGCGTTCGTTTCTGATGCTGCTCTATGTGGTGCCTCTCCGCATCCGCTCCTGGCTTTGCCGCCGCCGGCGCCTGTCCGCGTCAGCTTCTGGCGCCTGTCTGCGTCAGTTCCGGCGCCTCCCGGCGTCCGCTCCCGGCGCCTCTCTGCGTCCACTTCTGGCGTCTCTCCGCGTCCGCTCCCGGGGCTGCCGCAGCCAGCTCCTTACTGTGTCAGTTCTGGCGCCTCCCTGCATCTGCTCCCGGCGCCTCCCCACGTCTGCTCCTGGCTCCTCTCCGCGTCCGCTCCCGGCGTCTCTCCGCGTCCGCTCCCGGGGCCGCTGCAGCCAGCTCCTTACCACGTCAGTGCCGGCTCCTTTCCGCGTCCGCTCCCGGGGCCGCCGTAGCCATCTCCTCTCCGCCTCCGCTCTCGGGGCCGGTCCAGCCGGCTCCTCTCCGCGTGCTCTCCTGGCACTGCTGGGGCCGGTGCCTCTCCGTCTCAGCTCGTGGACCCTGGATGCTGCTGTATTTGGTGTTTCTCCGGGTCCGTTCTCGAATTCCTCGGTCGTTGCTGTTTTCTCTGGGTCCGCCGCTCCGTCCGTGTTATTCTTCTATGCAGGTCCCTGTTCGGGCGCCATCTTGCGGAGCCGCAGAAGAACGACACGCCGAGACGGGTTCAGTGTGGGTGATAGAGCATCAATCAATGTGTGTGTTTATTGTTCCAGGGTACATATATTTATACAGACAATGATAATTATTATGCCTACTAGTCACTAGCTGATTGCCTTAAGCTCTAAAGGTCGTATTCGCATGGTCCACCTACTTGCAGTTAGCTTACAGCACAAGCTTCTCTTAACACTAAGTTTCTCATGCTACTATTTCTAATTCCTCTTGACTTGTTTTCGATACACAACAGTACCGTAACACAGTGTTTCTCAGACCACCGTTACCATAACACTAGGTTTCTCAGACCATCGTTGCCATAACACTAGGTTTCTCAGAGCACTATTCCCAATTCCTCTCAACCTGTTTTTGACACACCACAGTATGCAAGGCCGAAGCGTCCTTGACATTCTTCATGTACCAGCAGCTGCGAGCAGCTGCAGGCAAACCCTAGTGAGGCCCATCATCAGCGGCTAGAACAGCCCTTAAAACAGGCTCTGATCGTACAATTGCTCGGTGGGCTCATGACCCTTGTCTCTGAGCCATTCTCCAACACATCGTCACAAATGCCTTTTTTGGGAGTTTTTCCTTAGATCCCTATGTACTTAGGTGTTTAAGCAAGACTTCTAGCACATGCTTCATCCCAGTTGCACCCATATGTTTTTGTCACAGGCCACAGCATTTAACTGTTCAGCCTGCCATAGATTCTTCCTCATGGCCCCATAGGTCTTATCTGCCAGCGTCTCTGGTCCTGGAGGCATAGTTAGAGTTTTTTGTCTTGTTTGTGTGCAGTGTTGGTCTGTGCATGTTTGTGTCTGGGTTGGAACTGCTGCTCTGGGCAGCATAGCAGTGGTAGTCAGCAAGAGAATAACAATGAGAATGTAAGGCTACTGTGTTGATAAGCCTAGACTTTGTAGGCAAAGAGTGTACAGTCCATTTCAGAGTAGGTAGCCATATATGCAGCAAGTGAGGCGACTTACTTCCATAGCACTATGCAGAGACACAAGGAATGACCAGTTTTTATATGACAGACTGTAGTGAGAATTGAGATGGTACACCTAGATGGAAACAAGACCTCTGGAATTGTTAAGCTATCGCTTGGCAATCAGGTGACTTGTTCAATATAGCTCTTGCAGATGAAGAAGGATGACCTGTGTGCCAAAGGGCGGTGGAGGAGGTGAGTGGAGCGCTCCAAGAAGGTAGGGAAGATGCAACTGGTTGCTCTGACTACCTTATAGATGTGTGTTTTTTTGAAGATGCAAAGCAGTGAGCAAAGCCAGATCCTGTGGTATCTGGCAGCAACTGTTTGAAGCTTTTCTCTTTGGTTTTTGCAGGTGATGTCCAGACAGCCTTTGGAATTGGATGAGCATTGGTGGTGAGCTGGGGTGGTAGCAAGGAGGAGCATGGGCTGGTGACTTTTCAGAAGTGCAACAATAATTTTGTATCTCTTGGTATCTTAGGTCCCACAGGCAATGATGGCTGCAGCATCCGACTGAAATGAGCAGGTGAGCGTTGCTTCTGAGGTGGGCATTGTGAAAGAGGTTGGCCTTGAACAATGTGATGCTTCCCATCAGCAATGTTTGTGGGTTTCTTGCAGATGATGAAGAGGAACCTGGTGACTTGGGAACATCCCAGTTAGCCGATGTAGATTTGGTGGAGGATGAATTTGGAGCTATGTTTGGAGCCAAGTCCTGGCCCTCTGAAAGCTAAGCTGAAGGACCAGATCTGGGAAGGGGCTTAGGAGGAAGGGACAGGGTTGCGAGTTGCAGGGAGGGGTATTAAAGTTAGTGTATGTGAGAGGGCTGTTCAGAAACAGTCCCCTTTGGGCTGGTAAAGAGAGTGGGTTCCTTTTCAGGACAAAACTGTGCTGAGACAGGGCAGTTCCAGCCAGTGTCAGCATTGTGTAGTTTGTGTATTCTGTCTTCTCTGTCTTAGACCTTCCTCAAGTTTCGATGCTCTCGTTTCTCTTTGCACTCGAGGAGCACGGTGCATGCCTTGGGCACCATCTCTACGGTCTCAAATGCCTGTCCTTGGTGGCATAGTGCTGACTGGGCGCTTCTTGTTCTTGTGTTACAAGCTGAAAGTGTGGATAGGTCTTAGGAGTTTCTAGTTGGTTCTCTTTTGTGGCATCTTTCCAGGCTGTGTCATCAGCTGTGCTCCTTAGGTGTCTATTTTCAGACTGGTACTTTTTCCCTGCATCTTTACATTCTTAAGTCTTGAAGTCAGTCCTCTTGTGCATCTGTTGTCTCAGTTTTGATGATAACTTCTTCTAACGGGCCATTGTGTTTGACTTTTTTTTTTTTTTTTTTCTGGGGCTGCCATAGGGCTTCCTTGCTTCATGGTTGTGATCATCTAGGTCGTCTTGCTCAGCAGCATCATCTGCCTGGGAGTCATTCTCAATTAGAGTTTTCTCTCATTATTGAATCACACTGTGTGTACTGTCAGTCTGTGCATGTGTGTGTTTGTCTTGAAGGTGCTCTGCCCAGGGGTGTAGAGTCAGGGGTAGGTTGTGTAGCAGTAGGAGTCTAGGGTTAATATGTTGATACACTTAGACCATTTCGGCAACGTTTGCGTAGTCACTTCAGATCAACTAGCCATCAGCAGGCTGTGTGGACAGTCATTTCTACAGTGTTTTATGGAGATGATTTGAGCTCTGTGGGAGGGGCTGTTCTGCAGTAGTGAAGCAGATTGAATCTCAAAGGTGCTGAGACTTGTAGGTGTGGGGCTGACAGTTCAGTGTGGGAGTTGGTTTTGTTTTTCAGTGGCAGGCTGTAGTTAGACTCTAGATGATATTCCTAGCTGGAATCAAGACCTCGGGATTTCTTAAGCTATCACTTGTTATCTGGGTGACTCATCTACTAATTCTTTTGAGGTGCAGAGAGATGAGTTGCACACCAGAGTGATGGAGGAGGTGAGCAGAGCTCCATTAGATGGTGGGTCAGTGAGTGGTATAGGAAGATGGAACTGGTGCTATAACTAGCTTATAGGTTTTCTTTTTGTGTGATTTTTTTTTTTTTTAATGTTGATGATGGAAAGCTGTGAGAAAAGTGGGATATTGGCACCAGAGCTGGCTCAGGCAAAGTGAGCAAGGACTAGGGGCCTGAAGTAGCAGTCATTTTCCAGGTGTCCTATCATTGGTGAAGTTAGAAGCATCCCTTGTCATTTGTGTCTTACAGGTGGTATGTAAACTGCAGAGATAGGGTGGGTGAGCGACTAAAGCAAAGGAGCAGGACATGGCAATTGGTGTGGGCAGGTGGCAGTTTCAGGCAGTATCTCAGCATGTGTGCCTTGCTTTGGTTTTGGCAGGTGCCGCAGGTAGCCTCAGAGGGGCAAAGTCGCATGCTGATAGGCAGTCCAAGAAGGTGAGGAGGTTGTTGGCTGGGCTCGTGTCTAATAAAAAAGTATTATATGGCAACTTGGTTAAGCATTTACCTCAGTTTTGCAGGTGCTGTGGGAGCCACCTTTGGAATTGGATGAGCCTTTGAGGTGAGCTGTGGTAGTAACGAGGAAGATCATGGGCCTTACAATGTCTTACAAGTGCAATGGTAATTTTGTCCCTTGGGATCTTAGGTACCAAAAAGTGATGATGGCCACAGTGTCTGACTCTGAAATGAGTAGGTGAGCAGAGCTCCACAGTCCTTCTGAGGGAGGTGTTGTGGATGATGTAGGCATTGACTGGTGTGATGCTGATTGCCAGCTCTGTTTTGTCTTTTGCCTTTTTGGTTTTTTTTTATTGCAGGTAAAGAAGAACCTGGCCACTGCAGGAACATCCCAGTTAGCCGGTATGTTTCTTTTTGTCAAGGATACATTCAGACCTCCAGCCCTCTGAAAGCTAAATTGAGGGACTGGGGCTGGGAGGAGGGGAGCAGGTTGGGAATTGCAGGGAGGGGTTTGAAAGTTAGTGTAGGGGAGAGGGCTGTCCAGGAACAGCGTCCTTTGGGCAGGTAAAGGGAACAGATTACTTTTCAGCACAAGACTACCATGTGCCAGGCACAGTGGTTCCCGATGGTGTCTGTGTTTGTGTAGTCTGTCTTCTGTGTCTTAGATCTTCCTCAGTCCTCAACGTCCTTGTTGCTCTTTGCTTGACGAACAAAACACGTGCCTTGGGCGTCCTCCCTAGGGTCTCGAATGCCTGTCCTCATTGACACAGTGCCAGTTGGATGCTTCATCTTCTCAGGTTTCAAGCATAGAGCACGGATAGATCGTGGAAGTTTTCAATCAGTTCCCTTTTGCAGCTTTGTTCCAGGCTGTGGCATCAGCTCTGCTCTCTAGACATCTGTATTCACGGACTGGGAAGTCTTCTCTGCATCCTTACATTCTTAGATCTTGAAGCCAGTTGTTTTGGGTGTTTGTCATGTCTGTTTTGACAGTAACTTCTTGTAACAGGCCATTGCGTTTGACTCTTTCTGGAGCTGCCATAGGGCCTCCTAGCCTAATGGTTGCGACCATCTAGGTCTTATTGCACAACAGCATCTCCCATCCAGGAGTCATTCTTCTCGCTTAGAGTTTTCTCTCATCTTTGAATCACACTGTTTGTAGCGTGTTTTGTGTAGTGTTGGTCTGGGCATGTGTGTTTAGCTTGGAGCTGTTCTGCCTGGGCGGTGTAGAGTCAGCGGTAGGTGGAAGAGTGATAGAAGTGTGTGGTTAATAGACTGATAAGGCTAGACTGTTTATGCAACGTTTGTACAGTCACCTTGGCTCAAGTAGCCATTGGCCGGCTGTGTGGACAGTCATTTCCATAGAGTTTTAAGGAGGTGATTGGAGCTATGTAGGAGGGGCTGTTCAGCAGTAGTGAAGCAGATCGATTCTGAGGTGTTAAGGCTTGTAATTGTGGGCCTTACAATTTGGTATGTGGGGGATGGTTTTGTTTTTTTTACTGCCAGGCTGTAATCGGACTCTAGATGGTATTCCTACCCAGAATCAAGACCTCAGTATTTCTTAAGTTATCACTCTGCATTTTTTTCAGGTGCAGAGGGATAAGATGCATACCAAAGTGACAGAGGAGGTAAGCAGAATGCTGTGAGAAGGTGTGTCAGTGAGCGGTGTCAGAGGGAAGATGGGACCAGTGCTATATGCCTAGCTTATAGGTTTTGTTTTTGTAGGTTTCTTCTTTTTTTGAAGGTGTGAAGTGGTGAGCAAAATGGCATATTGGCACCAGAGCTGGCTCAGGCAAGCTGCCTTTGGAATTGGATGAACGCTTGAGGTGAGCTGGGGTAGCAGCAAGGAGGATCACGGGGCTGGTGACTTCTCACAAGTGCAATGATAATTTTGTCTGTTTGGAATCTTAGGTTCTATAAGCAACAATGACCGTAGTGTCTGACTTTGGAATTGGTGCAGAGCAGGGTGAAGGGAAGTGACACAGTGCTTCTGAGGAGGGGCAAATTGTGGATGATGTAGGCATTGACTGCTGTGATACTGACTGTCAGCTCTGTTTTGTCTTTTGGTTTTTATTGCAGATGATGAAGAGGAAGCTGGCAACTGAAGGGACATCCCTGTTAGCTGATGTGGTTTTTCTGTTGAGGATGGATTCAGACCTCTGGGCCTTTGAAAACTATGATGAGGGGACCAGGGCTGGAGAGAGGGGCTGGGAGGAGTGGACAAGGTCAGAAACTGCAGGGAGGGCTATTAAAGTTAGCGTAGGGGTGCGTGCTGTTCAGGAACAATCTCCTTTGGGCAGGCAAGGGAGTGGGTTACTTGTCAGCATGACACTAGTTTGTGTTGGGCAGGGCCGGTTCCAGCCTGTGTCCGTGCACGTAGCTCATGTAGTCTGTCTTGTGTCTTATACCACACTGTCCTCGGGTCTTGATGTCTCCATAGCTCTTTGTTGTCAGCAGGCACCTCAGTAGTGCTCCTGAGAATCTTCAGTGCATTGCTTCACTGGCATAGCGCCTGTCGAGCCCTTCTTGTCTAGCAATTGTTGCCTAAAGGATGGATTCATCTGGTGTGTTTTGCATTGTAGATGTTCTTGAGCGGTCACCTCTTGTGCTGTCGAGCTAGGCGATGCCTGCAACTCTTCTGTTGAGAATTCTGTTTGCACACAGTAGTCTTCCAGGGTTTCATCCCCGTGTCCTTAATGATCCTAAGTCTTGAAGCCCAGCTTCTCAGGTATCCATCATTACGGTTTTGATGATAGCTTTCTCTCACGGGCCACAGTAGTTGCCTCTCATCCTGGGGCTGCTATAAAGCATCTGCACTGTCATGGCACCGTAGAGCTCTTCTGCTGGTGGCATCTTCCCTAGGGTGGCAAATCTCTCTCACGATCTTCTTGTGTCTCACAGTCATGTTGTTTGTGGTATCTGTCTGTGTCGGGGTTGGAGCTGCCCTGCCCAGGGGTGTAGCAATACTAAAGATAATGGTAGCACAGCTTTTTGGTTGTATGTTGATCTGCCCTGATCCTTTTGGCAAAGACCATACGGTCCATCTCCGGCCAAATAGCTGTAGAGAGCTGCCGGAGTTGTTTTCACTGTGTTTGGCAGGTGCCAGAGGTTGGACTCTGGCCTGCTGGGAGTGGTGGTCTGTGTGGTAGTTGAATGGGTTGAATCTTAAAGGAGCCTTAGCTTGTATGTGGGGTTCAACATGTGGGGTTGGGATGTTTTAGCTGTAGTTAGAAAGCATATGCAAAAAGAGAGACCTTTGGTCTTGTAAAGCTATCGGTTAGTGTCTGGGTGACTACCTTCACATGAATTGGGTTTCTCAGATGCAGAGTGACGAGCCATGTGCCGCAGGGTGACAGGAGAGGTAAGCAGAGTGCTGGGCAAAGGCAGGCTGGTGTCCGATGTCAGAGGATAAGTGTGACTGATAGCTCTGATGGGATTATGCTGTTTCGGGTTTATTTACTAGGTGTGAATAGATGAGTGAAGTGGGATATCTGTACCGGAGCAGACTTTAGCAAGGCAAGTGGTGACCAGTGTGCCGAAGTAGTAGTTTTTTGAGGTGTCATACCCTCTCTATTATGTACATACATATTCCTATCCTATAGGGATGGGGTGTGTAGACCGAAGAATCTGATTCTGAGCAGCTGAGGTAAAGGAGCAGAGGAGAAAAGATGTGAGCAGACTGAGGACTTGGGCAGCATCTTACCTGTGCTTTTTCTTCTGTTTTTTGGCAGGTGCTGCATTCCTTTCCAGAGGGTTGAAGCTGCACAGCTATGAGCAGTTTGAGAAAAGGCAAGAGAGTTAAGTGGTCCTCTTGGGCTGAATTGCTTGAGGGTCCATGCAACTGTTTGCGCAGGTAACAGTGGCATGAAGTGATTAAAGGAACCTTGCATTTTGGTGACAAGGCCGCTACTGAGGATGGCTACTAAGTACGGACCGTGACCTGTGGCACCATGAAAGCTAAGTAGTGGGACAAATCTGTGGGGAGTGGAGTCCATGTGTGTCCAAACGTTGGCATAATGGGAGGGTTAGTCTGTGGGGAGTCAGCCTCGTGCAAGTGGAGGGAGTGATACGTCTCGTGACGTGTGCCCTGGCAAAGCAGCTCTGGGATGAGTTGGTGGAGTTGTGTGCAGTATGTCTAGTGTGTGTTCATACGTGTTCCTTAGTTACCTGATGTGTTAATGTTCATCTTGGCCTTCATGTCTGAGAAGCCTAAGGCATACTCATCCTACTGCAATCACAATAGCCATCCGTTGCATCTCTGCAGCCTCCCGTTATCGGCACGGTACCAATTCTGACTTGTTTAGCAGCATGACATAGAAGCTCAATGCTGCCGGTCTGGTTTAGCATTGTGGGTGCATTTGTCCAGTCTTCCTTGCAGCTCTGGCTTGGGCCTAACCATCAGGTCTCATCTCGATGACTCTCTTTCTTGAGACTGCTTCCAGAGTGCTTCCTGTGTCATCCTAGTCTTCAGTCTTTCCCAGCAATTTGTCTCCATCGGTCACGGTAGGTTTATCAGGCCAGGTTGGAGTGTGTGCGTCACGTGGCCTCGGCAGTGTTGTGCGTGCTGTCATTCTGTGTCTTTTGGTCTGGCATTAACTCTACTCTGTCTGGTATTCTTGCATCCTTAGGTCATGTTTGTAGTTTGTATAGTGTGTGTGTGAGGTGGAGCTGCTTTGTCCGTTTGTATAGCAATTCTTGTTGATGTTGGAAAGATCCCAGCATGGGATGATGTGATGATAAGCATGGCCTGTTTGGGTGGAGGTTGTATAAGCTGGTTTTGGGGATAGCCTGTAGTTATTGGTGAGCAGGTTCTAAAGTCCCTTCTTTTATCTTTTGCAGGTGTCTAGGGCCATTGGGATTCTGGGAGCAAATCCTTCCGTGGGGCTTGCTGGAGTGTGCACTTCAAAGCACAGGAAGAGTAGAAGTGGTGCAAAGAGGGAAATGTATCCCTCTGCTTCCAGTTAGGAAGGGTAATGCTGTGAAATCATGTGGACTGGTGATGTTGTGTTGAGGTATATGGTGATGCGGTTGCAGGGATGGTTATAGAATTGGGGTGATCTGCCACTGGCAGGTGACGAAGTAGACATGTTTTGAGTGAGGGGTGGAATGAGCAGATGCCAAATGAGTGTTAGTTTTGGAATGTGTCTATCCTTGTAGGTGTGGATTTCTTCTTTTTCAGGTTGTACTGAATGTAGAGGTAGTTAATATTTTCTTAACAATAAATAAAAAAACTCCTCAAGCTGGGTGGTGTGTTTTGATTGTGTCTAAGTTTTTGTTTTTTGGTTTGGGTGTTGTGTGTTTTTTTTTTTTTTTTTTTTTTTTTTGTGTTGTTTTTTGTTTTGTTTTGTTTTGTTTTTTTTAAGATTTTCCCTGTGGGCTGTATGTGGAGTTGAGATTTTTTTTTTTTTCAGACACTGTAGGAAGAAAACCAACCCACCCAGCTGTGAGACTGTATTGTTTTCTTTCCCAGCTGGGTGGTTTTATCCTGGTCCTGGCTGCTCTGCAGGGTGATGTTCATCACCGGTCTTTGGATGGAGGTTTGGCTTGGGCTGGGATTTTTGCAGGCAAGGTGAATTATGGAGGCCAATGGGAATGCTGTTCCCGGGGAGCGTTCCCCTGGCCTGTGGCAATTGCCTGTCGTTTCAGGGAGGTGTGTTTAGTGGGCAGTCGGAGAAGATGGTTGTGCATCTTGCAGTAGAAGGGTGTGGGGAGTTGGAGTAGAGGGCTCCAGTGCTGAGGAGGGACGGCGTTGTGAAGCAGGGGGGCCTTAATTTTCCATTGGTAGGGTTGTAAGTTCTTTCAAGGGGTAGTGTAGCGTCTGAAATATTTTTGAATTTTGATCTCTGGGTGCAGGCATGGAAGTTGTGGGCCTGTTGAGATGAGCAGAGCTCGCTTGCTTTCTGGCTGGGAATGCAAATGGTGGAGGTGATGTTGCCTTGAAAACTTCTATACGTGAAGTGATAGACTGAGTGTGTAATGGGAGTGAGAAACGTGGAGAAGACTCTAGCTACCTTGTAGAGAGGTGCAGGCACTAAGTAGTTGCAATGAAGGTAAAGCTGGATTTTTAGTGGTTACCTGTATTTATTAAAGTGACTAAAACGTGAATGAGTGTATTAATAATTACTCAATGAAAGGAGACAGTAAATACTTTTAATCATTGTAGTACAAGACCATGGTGGAATTAAGGTGTATGGAATGATGCCAGCAAAGTGCTTTAGAGTCAGTAATGGGCCCAGGCAAAGATAGAGATGGTTTAAAAAAAAAAAGAGATAAGCAATATTCTTTCCCAAGCAATAAATGCTTATAAATAAAAAGTTCCTTGGCTGCTTCTATCTTCCTGTATCTACACAGCATTAATGAAGGAACTGACACACCCCGATTACACTACATCCCTGCCACCTCTCGTCCTGTGGTGCTGCAAAGCCTCCTGCCCAACTGTCAAGCGTAACACCCTAGTCCCACCCTAAACAGCTGAAACTATGCCTTAGACTGCAAACATTACCCATAATGCCAGAAATCTGCCCCAATTAAAACCTTCGTGTTTAGGGCAGATGAAAAGGAAGCTGTGAACGTCATGAACAGCCTGGTTAGGCAATGTGCAATCTAGAAAAAAGTCACATGTCACCTTTGGGTCAGATAGGACCAGAGGCTGTGGGCACAGAGCTCAAAGATCATCAGAGGGGACAGAGGTCAAAGGTCATCCTGGGGTCAGAGATCAAAGGTCACATGCGGTCAGAGGTCAAAGATCACATTGGGGCAGAGGTCAAGGGTCACATGGGACCGGGGTCAAAGGTCACATGGACTCAGGGGTCAACTGTCATCATGGGGGCAGAGGTCAAAGGTAACATTGGGATTCCAGATCAAAGGTCATCTTGGGGTCAGAGGTCATGATGGGCCCAGGGTCAAAGGTCAACATAGCGCATAGGTCAAAGCTTAGCCGGGGGCAGCGTGCAACTTGGGGTCAGAGGTCAAAGGTCACACAGGGTTAGGGGTCAAATGGCACAGTGGGGTCAGAGGTCGACGGTCAAGTCAGGGTCAGAGATCAAAGAGCAACTCGGGGTCAGAGGTCAAATGTCATCCTGGCGTAGAATTGAGTTGTCAGCTGGTCAAGCATCAAAGGTCACCCCGGCTCAATGTTAAAACCCTGCAGCTCTTCTGGCCCATGTGATACCTGCTAGTGGTTGGCCCCGCCGCTTTCCAAGGGGATTGTGGGAGGGGTGGTGGGTGGGGCCCAGGCTAGATGAGCCCCAGCCTCTACTCAGGGAGCTCCTTCTGCTCCTGGGTTTCTCTGGGCTCCCCTGTTCCTTCCCTTGATGGCAGCTTTGGAGCTGCCTAAGCTTTTTGGACTGAGGTCTTTTGACCTTCAGAGGAGCACGCGTGTTTGCAGTAAGAGCTTCAGGACTGGGCAAGGTTGAGCACTCTATGGAGTAGAAAGTAGATTCGTTTGTTGCTTTTTTGTTGTCTTTTTTTTCAGGAGAATAATTTTTGCTTGAGCGTTCAGAGGTGGCAAGATGGTTTAATAGATTGCTCTTCCTTTTTAATTTAGGTGCTATTTAAAATGTTTTCCATATTTTCTTAGTCCCCAGCGCTCTCAAAATTTTCCTCTTTTAAATGTTTTTTCCTTGTTTTTCCTTTAGGAAAAAACCAGGTAGGTAGCAGGGGGTCTGGTTGGGGTGAAAGGGGACCAGGCAGGATGCAGGGGATCTGGTTGGGATTCACAGGGCCTAGAGAGGTCACGTGGTGTCCGGTTAGGGTCACAGGGGTCTTGTTGAGGTTCAGGGGACCCAGGTAAGGTCCAGGGGGGTCAGTTTGGGGTGCAGGGGCCCCCTACATGGGTGCTGTGCAGAGTGGCCAGAGAGTTTGCAGGGGGCCTGTTTGGGCTGAAAGGGGGTCCAGACAAGGTGCAGAGGGTCTGGTTGGGATGCAGGGTGTCTTGCTGGTGTGTAATTTGTATTGTAACTGTATTATAATTGCTGATCAATGGGTGCCTAATAGGAGTATTTGGAAAAGCAGCAACGTGTGATTTGGGTGTATAAAAGAAGCACCTGCCGTTAGGTGTGCTCGATTCAAGGAAAATCCTCGGAGCACCCAGGCCCAAATAAAATACAGTATTGCTCCTGAGCCTGTTCAGCTGGGCTTATTGCAGGCCGGGTACTGACGGCCCCCCGCTCCCCACGGGCTCCAGCTGTGGGCTGGGGCTGGGGCAGCTCAGGTGGGACCGGTGAGGTGAGGATGGGACCGGGCCAAGGTTTTAAATAGGCTGCAGCTGGGGAGCTGGGGCTGGACTGGGGCAGCCCCAGGGGCAGCCGGTGAGGCTGCGGGTGGGGCCGGCCCCGCCGTGCCGAGGGGCTCCAGCTGGGAGTCGGGGGCGGGGGGGCTGCCCGCCCGCGGGAGCTGGCCGAGGAGCGGAAGAAAGAGAGTCTCAGCCGCGTCTGCCCGCGGCCAGGAGCGGCCGGTCCGTGCGGCGAGGAAGGATTCCTCCCGGCCGGCCCCGACGGGGCGCAGCACCGGCGCCGGGAGCTCGGCGCCCCCGAGCCGCCGGGTGGCCGGGAAGCCTCGCGGGGGAGGCGCTCGGAGGCGCGTGCCGCCCGCCCCCGCGTGGGTGAGGGTCGGGCAGCCGGCGCTGCGGAGGTGGGAAGGGGCGGAGGCGGAGAGACGAGCCCCGGGGCTGCGAAAGCCTCGGGCCGGGGCCGGTACCGGGAGCTGCGGCGGGTCGCGCGTCCCCCCGGGCCGGTCCCGGCCGCGCTTCTCCAGCTGCCCGCCTGCTCCCGCCTCCGGCTGCCTTTCGGGCTGGCCGGGTCCCCGCAGCTTTCTGCTGTTCTGCCGACACCGCCCCGTCCCCCGTCGCCTTCTCCACGTCCTTTCCACGCCGCTCCCTTGCTGGCTCCCCAGCCGCCTGAAGCATTTCATTCCTTCCACGCTGCCGCCTTCCCCGTCGCTTGTGAAAATCGCATTGGAAGGTCTCCCTCTACCCGGTGACTCGTATCTATTCTCAGTGACTCCCTGTCTCTCTCTCTCCATCACCGAAATTGGGTTTAGCGTTAACGAGCGGGCATTACTTTTTTCGGCTGGGGACGTGAGGGAATCATTCTGCCTAACACGCCTGCTGTACGTGATAATAGACAAAGTTTATATCGCTCTGTTATGTGTATATTAGTCCAGTTTCAAAAAAGTCATTACCGTAATCACATAATTATTATGTGTGCAGTTTAGGTATCTGATGGACTTCGGCAGGGGTCGTCAGTGGTCTCTAGCCACCTCTGGTGATCTTTGGAGAGCAGCCTTTCTTAAACTTTGTCTACACTTTGGAATCAGCCTTTCTTTGGTTTACGTTTGCACTTTCTTATCTCCCGCCTAGCTTCAGCTAGTTTGTTCTTTTTTAGAGGGCCTTAATCTTCAAGGACAAGGGCTTGCGATTAGAAATCTCACAGAGCCTCTCCACGTCTGCGTTTCCCAGGAGGTGTTTATCACGCACGGGTAGCTCGAGGACCTCTGCACAATGGACAACGTGTTGCAGGCATTTGACCAATTGCTTAAGTTTTTACACTACCCTAAACAATGTTTTTTCCTTCACCATTTTCCAACAAGAGGGCACTGAGAGGACATGGGGAAGGACTGGAGGACACTGGGGGACATTGGGATGTCTGCGGGGACACGGAACACAATGGGAGACCGTAGACACAAACTGGGAGACACGATGAGGACTGGTGGGGACTGGAGCGATAGTAGGGGGTCTCTGGCAGGACTCTGCAGACTCTGGATGGACTGGGACACACTGGGAGATGCTGCGGGGGGGGGGGGCACTGGGTCACACTGAAAGGGACTGGAGGGCACTGGGAGTTACCAGGGAGTCTGTGGCAGGACTGGGAGACACTGAGGGACTCTGGGGATATACTGGAGGGACGCTGAGAGGGACTGGAGGGTGCTGGGGGACACTGAATGGTCTGAGGGGACACGGAACAGAGCAGGAGACACACTGCTGAGGACTGTGGGGGGGATGCTGGGAGGACTGGAGGGTACTGTAAGGATCCTAGGGGGTCTGAGTAGGACTGGGAGGACACCGGGCGGGCTGGGACACAGTTGGGGGCACTGGGAGATACTGGGAGGGACTGGAGGGCACGGGGGGCATACTAGGGGGTCTGTGACAGGACTGGGAGGACACCGGAAGGACTGGGAGATGCTGGTGGGCACTGTGGGACCCTGAGAGGGACCAGAGGGTACGGGGAGATGTTGAACAGG